GAAACGTGGAAAGAAGGAATTTCGGAAACTCGAAAAGCGGAAAAAAAAAAACAGTGAACGCACCTTTTTAGACTAGTCAGCGGCTGACGAGTCTAATGGTGTGACTTTATCTTGTAAAAGGTATGCTCAGAGCTCATTTGCACCCGGCGGGTGCAAATCCGCCTGGATCACTTGGGTCTATGGCTTAATCACTGGGATTGAGAGTGGGGATCTCCGGGGACGGACCCACCCCTCGCCAAACGCTGATAGTTCTAGGTGCACTTTTTTTGCAAAGTGATCCAGGCGGTATTTGAACTCGTGCGGGTATTATTATTATTATTAATATTATTATTATTTTATTTGCCTTCCGACAATTAATTGCAGATGATGTACCTCAGAAAACTTCACGAGTATCCTTTGTTCGATTGAGTTACACCTTCAGACGAGTCAGCGCTGACTAGACAAACGGTTTAACTATTTGGTCACAAATGCTTCACGCACGATTCGAATCCCGGCTATTCACTTTCCCAAGCACCATTAAGTTCTGTTCAGGCAGCATCTGGCGAGGGGTCCGTCCCAGGAGATCTCTACTCAAGTAACAAACCCCAGTGATCCAGGCGGGTGCTAGTGAGCTCTGAGCATATCTTTTTTAAGATAAAGTTACACCATTAGACAAGTCAGCCGCTTGATTGACTAGTCAAATGGTGTAACTTAAGCGGGTGCTAATGAGCTCTGAGCAAATATTTTTTCAGATAAAGTTACGCCATTAGACAAGTCAGCCGCTTGATTGACTAGTCTAATGGTGTAATATATGTCACCGAGGCAGCAGAGCACCCAACCCCGTGAGGGGGCTGGCGAGATGCACCTACTGACCGGCCACGTCCGTGTACTCTCCCTTACTCCTTCATCTGTGTTCTGTTCGAGGACGGGACTCCTATACGACTACTGCCTAAGACCCCCTTTGCTGCTGAAAGCCCGTGCCGACGACGCACATACCGAACATGCGCGCCGAACACGCGAGTGCGGCCACTGCGCCGGCGTGAGAACTCTCCGAAACGTGTGTGTGTAGTATGTGCTGGATCGCTAGGAACAATCAGTAGGCGTGGTCAATAATGTTTTTGCTGCTGACGGCGCTCCTTTCGTGATTTGGTGACGGAAACAGAGTGTGTGCCAGTCTGTCGATGTTTGAAATGTCATTCTTTTCGCGTCGCTTGATGTTTTGACGGTTCCTCAAAAAACAAACGACGTCAGAGTTTGCCCCCAAAAAAGCGGCTTAACATCGTTACGTCAAAACTTCCTGAAATGTCAATATTTCACGTCAGTTCAACAACACGTGGATTCCCTCTGTTGTGCATGCGTTGCGTATCACGACGTGATGGCAATCTCACCAGCCATAAAATGCCAAAAGGTCAGAGCCTAATGAGCTCCCAAGAATTTGGGTAGTTGGGTCCTCTGAAGGATCACAGGACGAACTGGAGCCACGGCTGGCGAGGAAACGTCGGCAACATATCCCTGAGAAGGCTCCTCCTCTGACTAGCGTCGCCGACCAGTACTCCAACAGAGCCGCAACAAACCGTACCTGTCTCCCTTTTGTTTCCCAGTGAGGCTTCGCTTCCTCGTCTTCGGGATATTGCTGCTGCAATCTTTTCGTGTCCCACTGGTCACTAGTTCACCTATTCGGAGGCCTTCTAGTCCCTTCGCAACCCATGTCTTGAAATTTCGGGGCTTGAGGTGTGGGTCTTGTCTAGACGCCGCCACAAAGAAGATGGGTCATACGAGCATGAGGAGGTCTGAAGAGAGAGCACGGCGCAAAACCACAGCGGGAAAAAGGCAGACGAAAGGCACGCGTTTCATTGTCGCTTGTTGGCGTTCTGAGAGCTCCCAGTTGCACCATGAACATCACGTCTCGCATTCGAGTGATGGAAAGCAAGGGGTGGTAGGAAAAAGCTCGGAGGAGATCATATCTATCGATTGGTGTCTCGAGGATTGGTTGGCTTCGTGCGGCTTGATGTGGATTTCATCCGCGACAGACACCCGCTGTGAGTCTTACCCAGAAGCCGCCGACGTTGCCGAACATCTCCGCGAGGTCGAAGGGGTCATTTTCCGTCATAATCTCAAGCGAGTTGGGCTCCTGCTGGAACTGCAGCGACAGCTGGGCGTAAGGCTTGTCGATGGCTGCATTCACCTGACGAGGGAGGTTTGGCGGATGACAACAGCGGGTAAAACCTGTTCAGGGCTCCCCGAGATCACAACAATATTCTGTGATTCGACAACAGTATGGTTGTACAAGGCCGATATTGCTACACGAATTTCACAGCAACATTCGCGTGTCTCGCCACAACCTTGGGTAGTGATTTGAGGCGCTGGCTTTGTTCGCGCGAAAAACACAATTCCTGACTGCCGTCCTGCTTTTCACCTCCCCTTCCGTTTCACCTTATCCCTGTGGGTCGCTGTCGATACCGACAGCGCCTTGTTGGTAGCGACGGGTTCTTTGCCTAGCCTTTCCTCGATGGTAACCCCCACCCCCTGTTGTATCATGACACACAGAGTATTAGCGGACGGCATCACGATTTACTAGTAACCATATGCATAACAATCTCCTGTTGTCGCTAACTCTTCGCGATGAGTCAAGACAGCGGGTGCAATGAGGAGTGGATGGACGGGAAAAAAGGACAGCGTCGTGCGGTCCAATGCAGCCGACAAAAATGGTTCCACGGCACCGAACGTGTTCAGCAACATGCCGGGGACGCCTGCGCTCGCTCTTGCACCATGGTGGAGACAACAAAACTAGGTGCCTGTAGACTTCGTACGCGCTAAAGATCGTGACAATATCTCGGGAGAGCTGTGTGCTCTACCCTGAAACAAACGTTGTGTCGAGCGAGCCAGCTGGTTCAACAGCAGATTCGCTCGAATGAACAACAACAATAGCAATAACTGACGACTACACGACGACGACGACGACACACCACGCAAGCATGCTCCGCTCAGCGCTCCTACGTGCGCACCACGTATGTGAAGGAGTGGCTACTTGAGACGTTGGTGATGCAGCTGTAGGGGACTTGGATCCCGGTTGATACTAGACCTGATTCTGGATATCCTGGATCTTTCAGCTTCACGTACATCCATTCGCTGCGTCGGGCGGAAAAACAAGGGTGTGTAGGAGGGACGGTTGCCAATATAGCTCGTGAGACGATGTGTATGTGCAGCGGGAACGAGAACGTGGGGAGGAGGTACGCCGCAACGCGCTATACACGCTTTCCTGGCTAGATGGTAGTCGTCCCGATTCGCATGTGGCAGCAAGGTTCGCTGAATATCGCACACCTACCACAACCACTAGGTGAATTTGATCAGGCCAAACACACTATCTTGAAATACATAGTCGAGGTGAAATCAAGACTATATGAATCAGGGCAAAGAGAGGGGATCGGAGGTAGGCGTGGACCCAAGGCTCGACTGAAACAGCACCTCAATCCGGTGGAGAGAGACCTTCGCCGAAAACGGCTTCGAGACAGACCGCTCGAGGCTCGGGCTCGCAATAAATTTCGCGTCTACATGGCTCGGACACGCCGTGTGTCGCCCAGAACCTCACCTGTGAGGCTCCCACCCCTCAGCGACGCAAGTGTTCGAAGCGCTCTCAGTGCCCCCGGGATACCAGTACATCCGCAGGGAAAACGGTACCGATATTTTGAGCAAGCAGTGCAAGGGAGTGAATGTTGCCGCCGCAGGAATAAACAGTTCGGTTGGGGAATTTAAGCGACAACGAGAGTACTCTCTGCGCCATTCGGCTTTCACTCCCTGGCAACATTCTGTTGGGGGCGCATGGTCCACACTCACTCCTGACCAACTTCTGGAGGGGGTACATGGTCAATATATTCACTCCCTGGCACCATTCTTTAGCGGAAAATGCTCCACATTCGCTCCCTGTGCAATTTCCTTAGGAGGTGTATGGTCATATTCACTCCATGATAAACATGGGAAGGGTATACCTTACGAAGCATCTACGTCCCAAAGCGTTTTTGACATGCTCACATCCAGGAGGAGGTAGTCTAGATAGTAGCTCGCGTTCCGTTTTGGCCCGAGAAATAGGGAAATCGTCGAAGTCACGAACTCCACGCACCAGCCGTCCTGCGCGGGGATTGATTGTAGACAACACGGAGCGAGGTACGTGAAAAGGCCGTCAATTTGAACATTGTTTCTAAGGGGAAATGAGTCCGCTCGAGGCAGGGCGAGACTCAGCGGTAGTGCTTACACAGATGAATACATTTCTCCGACGTCGCAGGACAGCCCCATGGAGGAACATGCAATGGGAATCTCAGGACCAAGATCAGGCCTGAGCGAGCACGAGCTGCAACACGTACTACTGTACAGTCAGACTTTGGAAACCGCATCAAACAGGCATTTTTCCTGGGTTGCTGAAGGGGAGACCGGCATGTCTCCCCCGCGCCCGAAAGCGTTGAGAATTCGCACCACACCCAACATTTCGTGGCCATACTTGCTTGCACTGCGAACCCAAAAACTGGCGCATCTGCTCCAAAATTCCCACCCACGCCCCCGCGCCCCGTGACGTGGAACGCCCGTCTCCACAATGATAAACTGGACAATGTCGTGCACGATATGCACTTCTGAGAAAGCCGCAATATGCTCCTCGGCTCACAAAGTGACTTGTTTGCGAGTGATGGGACATTCGACCCCCTGGGTGAGCGGGGACATACCAAAATGAAGCTGCCTCCTCCGCCCACGAGGAACAGATATTCACATTCTGTGACGTCAGGCTGACGCTTTCCGCGCGGCGGTTCCCGCGTAGCGGTTTGCGCATAGCGGTCCCACGACATTCATTACGTGCGTACCCCAACGGAATTGCTTAGTGCAAGTCAAGATCGTAGTGAATTCATTTTGAATATTGATTTTTCTGTCCATGGACCATGTGCGTCCGACCCTAGGAACCGCTTGCCGTGTGGCACTTGATGTTTCAGCTCCGGTGGGACAAATGGTTCGTTGTGGGAATCCAGTGTTACCGTTTGCAAACGACGTATTCAACTTGCCTTGGTGATCACTAGCCCTTCAGGCCCGCCGTCTCGAATCGATTGTCTTGCAACACACTTCTATCAACAGCTTGGCTCTGCATGGACGAACGACGCTCGCTCGTGGTGGAAGTGCTGCCAAATATTCACAGCATCGTCCGCAACCATTCATCTCTCACCGGAACCTCGAAGGACATGCTGGGATTGTTGCGCTTCTTCAGGGCTTGGTACAAAATAAGTGAAGAATCTGCGCGGTGTGCAGCGGTAACAGGAAAAAGTTGCCCGTGGAAGTGAGGTCGCAGGTCGCTGCTAGTACTGCGGGCGGCTTGATCATTGGATTGAGTATCCCTCAACCAACCGACCCCTCTCCCGCCGCTCTGGACCGTGCGCTTTATAGTAATGTCTTGAGGAGCATTTCTGCTCCGGGGTCACGATGGCGGCGGGGGGGGGGGGGAACAAACCC